AAAAAAAAAGAAATGTAGTCAATATATATATTACAGACTTATTATTGTCACACGAAAAATGTCGCGTTCGGACAAACCTTGTTTTGTTTAAGTCGTGCGCGTGCGGACAACCACGCGACCTTATATAAGATCTTTTGATATTTAGATCTGCCAGACTTCGACGCGTCTCTTGATTTTAGAAATACTTGCATTTTTAACTTTAAACTCAAGGATAAAGCTCTTCAAAGTAAATTTTTGCATCTGGGTAAACCATACGTTTTGTTTTTATTATTACACTACATTTAATCATAATATCGTCTTTCCTGGAGACTTTCACCTTGAAGTACTGGTTAATGGGCAAGCTTTACCAGAATACAATCAACCGTGTGATGAATCAAATGTAAGTTTACAATAAAATGTTTAAGTATTTCTGTTTTCTTTACAAAAAATAAAAAAATTGATTCATATTAATTGCATTATAATTAGTTTAATAAAACCTGCGTATCTTATGTTACGGATCCAATAACACAAAAAGAAAACCGCAAGTAAGATAATATATATCTAGTAACGTTTTTTAAAAAAGAAATTAATGATATTTACTATCTTTTCATCTTTTCATCTTTTAAAGTAATTTTATAACGTATGACCCCAGGAGAACGGTTTACAATTAGAACTGAGGTCAAACAAGCTAGCACGTCCGATATTATAATTTCACGTTTATATATAGATGGACGATTTCACGAAGTTCATCATCTTCACCAACATGATGTCTCAAGTACCATATCGTACTTCGTTAATTTTGAAAGAGATCAAGTATATTACTTTAAATTTGCCAGCACATCTCAACTTGAAAAAAAAGATGATGGTGTATTCAAAGTCCCTTATCCTGTTAATAAATATCCAAATAAGCAAAACCAAACGTCATATGGGAGACCCGGAACAATTACTGCTTGTTTTTTCAAAGGGATTATTGTTGACGAAAGTGCTTTAAATAAACAAGAATTCGAAGTCAAACAAGTAAAGATTACAAATACAGTTGATAATGGGGAGATTGATTATACCACTGGATATGATGTCGTGGATTCAACAATTCCACCGTCTACCGTAACAAAAATTATTGATATGAAACCCATAGCTGTTTTACATCTTAACTATCGTTCTGTAGATTGGCTGGCAAAATAGGATTTCCTATGACAATTTTAAATAACGATGTTGTCATGGAACAACCAAGAGAGATCATAGAAATTGACGTAGATTCAACAAAAGGAATCATGAACGACAACGCCAACGTTGACCCGACAACAGAATTCCTAGATCCAACAAAGGGAATTATGAACGATAACACCAAAGTAAAAGAATCTTAGAAATTGAAAAATCTAACTTTGAAATAAAAAAGGCAAACAAGGTAGTCTACGGAGTTCCAAGATCATTTCAAGCGATAACCGATACGTTTGAAGGTTTCAGAAAAAAACAAGCTGCGAAGTCTCAGGAACCTACTCAAGAAATCATGGAACCTGAAATAAAAAAACCGTCAATTGACGAAACCAATATTTCGAAAACAAATAAAAATCGAAATATCAAGATAAAACGTGTAAACGTAAGAAAATATGAACAAGAAACTTTTATCATGTGACAGTATTTTTTTTTTTTTT